TAACATCCCACCCCCCCCCCCCCCCCCCCCCCCCCCCCCCCCCCCTCCCCCCCCGCCAGAGGGATGGGGGGAAGTGAATTGGAAGGGTAAAAGTGAGAAAACTCATGGGTTGAGATAAAGACAGTTTAACAGGTAAAGCAAAAGCCACACGTGCAAGCAAAGCAAAACAAGGAATTCATTCACTGCTTCCCATCGGCAGGCGGGTGTTCAGCCATCTCCAGGACAGCAGGGCTCCATCACGCCTAACGGTGACTTGGGAAGACAAACGCCATCACCCCGAACGTCCCCCCCTTCCTCCTTCCTCCCCCAGCTTTATATGCTGAGCATGACGCCATACGGTGTGGAATATCCCTTTGGTCAGTTGGGGTCAGCTGTCCCGGCTGTGTCCCCTCCCAACTTCTTGTGCCCCCCCAGCCTGCTCGCTGGTGGGGTGCAGTGAGGAGCAGAAAAGGCCTTGACTCTGTGTCAGCACTGCACAGCAGTAACGAAAACATCCCTGTGTTATCAGCACTGTTTTCAGCGCAAATCCAAACCATAGCCCCATACTAGCTACTACAAAGAAAATTAACTCTATCCCAGCCAAAACCAGCACACACTGTCACAGTTAAAATCAAAAGTCATGCATCAGATCTCAAAGGCATGAGCCTGGATTAAGAAAGATGTGATTGTTAAAGGTCATTCAACAACATTCAGATATGATTTATAGTCAGAAGTGGGGTTTAAGAATCTAGAGGATTTCAAGCTTTTTGTTTCTCCAAACAGTGAGATACACTTTTGAATTTCCCCTTCAAATAAAAGTTGAAACCCTTTTATATAGCTTGATTCCAGGAGTTGAAATTTAGGAAGGAGGCCAAATATTGTGAAATTAGTGATCTCATTGTGAGAGTAGGCAGCAGTGAGGTTTGTTTAGGCAAAACTTTCAGGGAAATTCCTGGGTATCTGGGCTAAATATCCTGGTTTTGTTTATTAACCACAATTACTGCAGACTTACCCTGGAAACATTTGAATGGGGGAGGAGAGAGGCGACACAGCTCAATTCTGTGTCAGGAAATACCAGATCATTTCATGCTTTCCAGTCTCTTGTATCTTTTGTGTCTGCCTGATCTAAACCTTATCACTTTGGGGGCTTTGGTGTATTAAGACATACAAGGAGTTCTGCACAAATATCTTTCCAAGCAAGATACGGGTAAGGCTGGTTCTCTAATGAAGAAAAAATTGCTTGAGGAGGAGGTCGCTATCTCTTTGTCAAAACATTTATTTTTGTTTAACAAAAGAAGTCATTTCCTTACTGTTTTTACTTTTCACTTCCCTACTGAAAAGCCAGACATCTTTATCTGACATTTTTTAAGGTTTTAGACCTGTTTTCTTTCTGACTGCTATTTTTAGTGAAAAAGTTAAGCTTTCATTAGTAGCTTTTCAAAAATACTGAGTGAAAACTTTCCACAAGAGGAGAAGAATATTTCAATCACCTCTATTCCTAACTTAAATACCAGAGAACAATCATAACATCCTAATGATAGAGCACACTCGAGCATACGCCTGGTCTCTCATGATGTAGGGAGGAGAGAGAGCAGCTGTTGAGCACTGCTGAGATCTGCTGCACGGTCGTTACTGACCCAGTGATCCTTAAGAGAGATGCACTACCAAAATGAGTAAACCATGAGTCAGACCAGGCAGTGAGACAGTGGCACTATTTAAAGTACATCAGAATAACAAGTGACAGTCTTATTTATATATGTGTATTAAAAAAAAAATTTATCATCTTGTTTTTCTTCAGAGAATACCAGAGGAGCTAACCTTAGATGCCTTACTAGAAATGAATGAGTCAAAGGTGAAAGAAACAATGAAGAGATGTGGTGCCAGAGATGAGGAGTGCTCCAGACTCAATGGGGCACTGAGCTGCTTACGGAAGGTGACTGAATCAGGTACAGACTGCTTTGTTGTTCTATGGAATTAGTTTCTCGGCAATCTGGCCCCCATCCTGCTTCCTTTCATATAAGACAATCTGCAAAAACCTCTAGAGAATGTCTTTGGGTATATTCTGTAACCAGTATCAGGTTATGGCGCTCGGATGTACGTGAAGTTGCAGTGATCAAACGCATCTAGAGCTGTGGATTGGATTTGGTTTTGACAGCATGTCAAATAAATAAATAAATGGAAATAAATGTATGTAGAAATACCCTCCCCTACTCAATAGACTATATCCTTATTCCCTCTCTGTTCAGTTGTGTCTAATGCTCCAATCCTCCATCATTCAGTACACATACCCTTGACCTAACGAATACAACCAGGTTTCTTGTAGGTAATCCCCTCCTCAGATATTGCAAGCTCAGAGAGAAGGTGTAATTCTGTTTGGCATTACTTTGCTCAGAAGCCTGATTATTGCTCAGCTCAGTGCTTTGGAAGAGAGGAACATCGCTCTGACAACCCTTTATCACTGCATAGCTTGTAGTGTGCCAATTGATTCACTTCTCTTTAAAACCACTTGCCTCCTGCTATCTTTCTTTGACTGCTAGAATTGATAGAATCATTAGCCAAATTCCAATAGCAGATTCAAGAGCTAGAAAGAACCCTGATTTACCTTGAAATTATGGAAAGAAAGGTACTGTGTAATTAGAAATGCATGTGTTCAGCATGTAAATGCAAGTTATTTAAGATCAAACTCATGATTCCCAGAGCGCTGTTTCACTGTCTTCCCGTGTCACCTTCCCCAGGCTACTTTCAAAGGCATTGTAAAATCTGTTTGTACGAGAGTGTTTCTCACAGCATACTGATACTAACATGCATCAGATCTTTCTTTGTAGCAATTATCAGCCACTGAAAGGTGATGTTTCCTGTTGGTATTATGACAGTTCATACCATTCGCAAATCATAAAGATTAGTTAATGGAAAAGTCAGCAAACAGCTCAGTTTCATATTTCCTTTTTTCTAATCTTTCTTGTCCTGGGCTGCCAAATATTTCCCATCTATACTGTGGCAAAACCAGTCATTGTTCAGAAGTCATGGCATTCACTCATTATAAAGAAATTACATTTTTTAAAATACAGGTATATCATCTCTTTTCAACCACTGAGTGGTCAATAGGACATCAGGGCCTGAAGCTTTGACTTTTCGCCTTGATTTAAGTCATTAAGGACATACTTAAAATTTAGGGAGTTATCCTGATGAATTAAGCCTCTGAAATTATCCCAATAATCTGTGCGTTCCTGCCTTGCTGCCTGCAGGCCTTTGCACTTTTTTTCCCCCATTTATACCCAGAATTGATCTACAAGCTGTACTGGATCATTCTGAACTACAGTGCTAGGCATTGCAGAAGGCAATGCTGGGCTCCACCAGCGATCTAGCAGGTTGTCGTGGTTCCTTTTTGTCCAGCTGTCTGTCCCTGGTGCAGCTCTAGCTAATACAGTCTGAAGAAACACAGCAACTCTGTGCTGAGAGCTGCTGCTGCCTGTAATTGAACAGCAGTGCCCCAGTACTCCAGGTGTCAGGTGAGTTCTAGGCACTGGTTATATGCCAGAGAGAGAGAAGAGCAGCCAAATGAGTATCAGAAGCTCCTAAACACCCCTTATTTCCAATCTAATGGCCTTTCTCAATTTAAGTGGTGTTTAGCAGTTCTGTTGGCTAATAGAAAATAGTTTCCTCTTTTTACCAAAGACCAGTCTAAAAGCAGGCAGGGTGCCAGGTTGGGTGTACAGATTTGTCTAAACAGATTGGCACCAAATCCACATAGGCTTGCAGTGGGATATGGGTGCCTGTTTTATATAGGTATGCATATCCCACATTCTTCAATAGGGCCCCAATCTGTTAAAACTCAGCCCATCTTAGAACATAGGACCTGATTTTAGCTTTTGAGATACATAGCTACAGATAGGAAAGAAGGGTAGTTACTGCCATTAAAGGTTACTTTAGCTGATATCTTAGATGGGTGTCAGGGGAGGAGAAACTACACTTGCACCTTGGCTAGGTGCAAAGCAGGGAAGAAAACCCCACCTTATAGCCTAAAGCAGCATGATGTGGTAAGTATATATACATTGGCTTTTCTTTTTAATCAATCACTAACATTGCTATGGTTGGTGAACAGGTGGGGAGTTAAAAGATGATGTGCTGATGAACCTTTCTGAGGCACGCCGAGAGAACAGCTCTACAAACATGACCGAATCCCTCTGCTTCTCTGCGCCCACATGGACTCCCTCTGCACAGCACTTTCCCAAGGGCAACAGCCAGCAGGCACGTTCTGTGTCAGTATCTACAATCCCATCTTCAGATTCTCTTGCCTCGAGTCATGGACCTTCTATCTATGCAGAAAACCTCCTGGACCCTTTTGCATTCCCTGCACACAGTGGAAGGTTAACACCAAGGACTCCTCACAGCATCACCATCACTCCACCAACCACTCCTCAAGCCAAGAGACGGCATAAGTTGAAGCCACCACGGACTCCTCCTCCCCCTTGCCGGAAGGTTTTTCAGCTGCTACCTAACTTTCCAACCCTCACAAGGAGCAAGTCCCACGAATCACAGTTGGGAAACAGGATAGATGAAGTTCCTCCAGTAAAGTAAGCGTGACACTTCCTCCTTCCCCACAGGCACTGGTGGGCTATGTTCATACCAAAGAGCATTCAGTGCTCCAGTTCTGACTCTCTGAAAGAGCTGGCGTCCAGTTGCCTTGTCATGGTTTCACTGTAGTCTGAGAATCTGTATCAGTGGGATATTCTAAGATAACCACAAAACCTGCTTGTTAATAGTGTACTTTACTTGAAATTTATTTGAATTTATTTGAAGTTGCACCTGCTGGGTGCAATTGGGATGGCTGCTACTATTAAAGGCCTCCAACCAGTTTTTCTCAAGCATCTAGTAGCTAATTCCACATACTAGAATTATCTTCTGTCCTTAAATGTTCCTGACAGTTCAGGTGGCTGGTATCCTTTTATGTTTTATATACTAAAACCTGCAAATTGCTAAACATCTAAATGCAGCAAGTAAGCATCTGTGGCCAACGCACAGCTTTGTTTTGAAATCCAGTGGTAAGAACCTGGTTCTGCTGTGATCCAGGTCGTGTTGATTAAGTCTGGTAGGAATTGCAAAATGTAGCACTTCTGTGATTCAGGCACTTCCATGGAGCCTGCCAGCTGACTGAGTTGTGCAGCCCCATTAGCACTTCTCGTCTGCAAGCCAAAATTCAGGTGCACTCTTGTACACTTCACTCATAGGCTGGAGCTGGAGCTCTACCCAGCAAAGACTACCATTTGTAGGCAGGAAAATATTGGCTATACAGCAACTTCAGGAGCCTGTGCAAAACCAGAGATGTTTGTAAGCCTGACATCAAATGCTGCAGGAAAGAGTTTCTGCTCTAGCAACGTGTGTATCCTGTCACATGAATATGAATGTCTAAAAAAAAAAAATTATTTTTTTTTCTCTCTCTAGGTTCGGTAAGAGACTTTTACAGGGCTGTCTTCGTTTCGTTGCTGAGCGAGAAGAACCTGTCCTTGTCAACTATCTGTTGATCATCCCTGTGCAACCTCTGGAGGTCCTCAATAGGGCCTTCTATCCCAGAGTTTCTGTTAACAGGAGATTGGCCTACTTGGCCTACTGGAGAACTGCAGGATGTTTGCATGGTCTTTTTTGTACCTGGTATTTCTTCAGATGTCAAAAGCAAGGAAAAGGAATACTGATGTTTAAAGGGTTAAAGCAAGGGGTTTGGGTGTAATTGCTTGTCTCTGATTTCAGACGGCTGTTATTGATGCCTCTTGGGTACTAGAAATAACTTCATATCTAACCATTTAGTATCTTTGGATATTCATTGCCAAGTATCTCTGTAATGAAATTAGACAGTTGCATGCAACCTTCTGAGAAACACTTCAGCATATGCTTAAATGTGGAATGCTTCCTCTGGTGTTGATGAGTCTATTCACATGTTTAATGGCTTACAGGACTAGGACTTGTGTTTTTATCCAGTAACGTATCAATGCCATTTAATGTTTTAGCTATCCTGATGTGACTATGTGTGTCTGTCTCAGACACAACCTGTAGTAGAGAGCTAATGTAGAGAGATATGGGCATCTTGGAAAGTGTCTCACCTTTTTGTAAAGTATAAAAGTCCAAATAAGGACATTATAGCACCACACATATATCTAATGCCCTTTAAAACAAAATCCCAGGAATTACGTTCAGAAATGAAAAAGCATAGAAAGAAAATTGTAGAATGAAAATGCAAGCAGAAATCTGAGCATTTCTCTGTGGAGAGTGATAGAATTTATGCAATAAATAAAAAAGGCATCAGAATAAATTCAAACAGAAATGAAGACTTTTGGTGCTTCTATGCATATAGTCATATTGTCTGTTTTGAAATCTATACAGTAGGCTCTTTTAAGTCCCATTCAATTCCAAACTTTTTTATATTCATTAGGACTCTTCAGTAAGGATTTAGCCATCTTAACTGATGTTAACAGCCATCTTAACTGTTGTAGTATGATTAATTCAGATGACTCTGCATTTGGATGGCCCCACTAGATCAGCAATATCCTTGGAAAAGCAACTAGTCATTCCAGCCTATTCTAAGATGCTGAAGACCACAGATGCCTTTACAAGTTCACTGGAATAATGATAAAAAAGAATCTGGTGCCATCTAGGGTCAAATAAAGAGACTGGCTTTTTGTAAGCATTGACAGTGTCCAGCCTTGAAGCTGTGTTGATACTTGCAGATTTGAGTTTTCTCCAGATTTGCAATGTGGCTATAGATTTAATTCAGGAAATAATGCCAGAATCTTAGTATTTGAGAGTTTTTAGGAAGTTATGTGGTATAACCACTGGAATGCTGGACTGGCATTTTGAAGTCTAGGTCACCCTTTATGCACTTACCAGCTAGCTAAGTGATCTCACATAAATCTTTTTATTCTTGTGGGTCACACTGGCCCTGTCTATAAAATGGAGATAATAATTTTCAGTGTAAAAGAATATTCTGAAGTCTACTGACACTGCATGAAAACTGGGTGGTAGTATTCGTGGTAAACCAATTGGGAGTAAAGTCTGACTTTCCACTTTGTTTTAAGATTGGCCTAGACCTAATCAGATAGACTTCTGTAATCCCTAAACATAAAACATAATGATTTAACAAAAAGAAGGAAGAATTATGATTCCACCACCAAATCTTATCTTACATTGCCTCCATATGAAAACAAGTAAAAGAGTAGTATCTGGTAGTAGCTTTACAGCGGAAGGCAAACCAATCTCAGCTGTGCTACTAAGCGTCATGGCTACTAGTCCTTATCTATGACAGTGATCACTTTGTTTCTGTCTAGACTGGTAAGCACGCTGCTTAGTAATGCTTTCCTAAAACATCCTTTTGTTCTCCATCAGAACTCTCCCAAGGATCCCCTCAAACGGTACGAAGAGACTTTGGCTTAGCTGTAACACACAGGTAAGCAACACATGCTGTGGGAGCCACAAAGGAAACAAACTGAGGGGTTAGACCAGGACAGCATCCTATTCAGTGCGTTTGTAGCAGTCACGACTAAGACAGGTTTGAAGTTGGGTCGGGTGCCTCATTTGCTAAGTTCAGCCTGAACTATGTATTTCAGCTTCATTTCAATATATGCACTTGAAATCCTTTTTACAAAGCCAACGGACTCGTGATTCCGTAATGACTAGCATACCAGCAGTAGCAATGCTGTGTATGGAGTGATAGGACCAAGCATGCCAAATGTGTAACAATGCCTTTTCTAAAAGACTTCCACTGCTACGAATGAAAGGGAAGCTGCTCCTTCCTCCCTACGTTGAAAGAGCATAAATTTCCCTTTTCCTCTCTTATATCTTCCTGCATCCCCCCTTCCCAAATCCAAACCAAAACTGGGCCAGCTAGTTCTAATGCCAAACAAACCTATCGGTTTAATTTTCTGGTAAAAGGGATAACACTCCCACCACCACCCACCCACCATAAATTGGGTCCCAGTTCTATGAAGATGTTCAGGTGAATATAGCCAGCACCACGTGACATGTCCTGCTGACCTGAGGAGGGACACCAGCGACTGATAGGCAGCACGTGCTCATGGGCTGGATCTGCACTTGGAGTGTGTGCTGGCTGCTGCCTCTCAGCGTACTTGCTTGTTTCATGAGGTGAAGCTCAATTCCAGTTTGAGGGTTTTTTATGAGAAGTGATATTCTATCACTTGGATATCTTTGACCGCATGAGGCTTCAGATCTGTAATTGCTGAGCTGCAGCTTTGAGGACCTTCTAGAGATGGGTGTACATGCACACCCTGTCTCCTTGTCAGAGACACCTCTGAGCACCTCTCAGCCCTGTTCCAAGAGTGGATAACTAGCAAGAGGCCAGCAGAGTTGGTGCCAGCCTTCTTTCAGTTGTTTTTGATCAGAAAAGTGAGAAGTCTTTTCCACAACACCACTTGCCCTTTTCAGAAGGGGCTAAAGGAGAATAATAGCCTGTCTGTAACTACCTATGAATGTTGATTTTCCTTCAGACACCAGTTAACCATTAATCATTTTTCCCCTCTTGTTTCCACTTAGGTTCTCTACAAAGTCTTGGTTATCTCAGATTTGCCAAGTCTGTCAGAAAAGCATGATGTTCGGGGTGAAGTGTAAGTACTGCAGGTGAGCACACAGTGATGATCTTTTTCAGAAGAACTTTGCATTTGATTCATTAAAGTTTGCCAGTGACGAGTATCTCTTGACGTGATGCACTCTTAACAGTGGCATCATTTTTTCAGTCAGCTTCTGAACTGGCAAAGGAATGCTTTGGCACAACTTACACTTAGGTTGGCAGCCTGACACGTAGATGAACCAAATTTATTTCCCTGCCACAGGCTTCCTACCTGATCGTGGGCAAATCTTGTAGCGGGAGCTGGATACCTAAATAACAGCGAGGATTTTAGTTTTTGCTTCTCTGTCTGGGCTGTTAATTCAGAGCGCTGAGATTTTGATGCTTCACTGTTGCAGGATGAGGGTCAGTGAAAGCAATGATATTAAAAATAAACCAGATGCTAAGATATGTATATGGCTTTCATTAGCCTAATGATGCACATAATAGAATTCTTCATATGAATGCATGGTGCTTTGGGGCCTGGAGCATTCCAGAACTCCCTCTGAGATTAGCATAAGAATTACAAATTAAGGGTAGGCTTCCTCTTTTGGGGAAAGAACAAGTTGCTATTTAACATGTAATGTTTCTCTTTCAGATTAAAATGTCACAACAAATGTACTAAAGAGGCACCTGCTTGTAGAATATCCTTCCTTCCCAGTAAGTAATTTTCTACAAGTTCTTAGCATTTCAATGTAATTGATGGTATCACAAGAATAAAAAGTCTGATTAAAGCTTTTTTCTCCCTTCTCCAACCTGTTTTTCAGTAACAAAAATAAGAAGAACAGAGTCTGTCCCTTCTGATATCAATAATCCAGTAGACAGACCAACAGAACCACAATTTGGAACTCTTCCCAAAGCACTAACTAAAAAGGTACATGGTGACTGAAGTGAGTCTTGTGTCTGTAAGTCACTGAGGAGCTACAGTAAGGAGAGGTGGCAGCAGTACCTTGCTGGTTGCAGCAAGAATGGCACCTTGAGCTTTCGCTTTGTAAGGAGACTTTGATATGTGACATTTTCTCCTTGTAAAACATAGGTTGTGCACAGCTCCAGCTGCCTACTCAGAAAAACTATACTATGATTGGAGGCTAGGGCCAGCTTTCCTTTCTCTGTTCAGTAAACATTGAGGGGAATTCTTTCTTTCTTTTTATTGTTTTCTCACGAGTGACTTTCCTTGCTTTGCAGGAGCATCCGCCAGCAATAAATCATCTGGACTCTAGCAGTAATCCTTCTTCTACAACCTCATCCACACCGTCTTCTCCAGCACCTTTCCAGTCTTCCAACCCTCCCAGTGCAACACCTCCCCCAAACCCATCTCCTATGGGCCAGAGGGATGGACGATTTAACTTCCCAGGTAAACATGTTTTTCAGGAGAACTCTGCCAAGATCAGAAAGGCCTCTATGCAAGCAGAGGCTGACCGAGACTTCATAGGTAGTTGCAGGTTTCTGAATACATGGTCGTGTCTTAAGCAAGGTGTGAAGGTGTATCTTGTTACCTGATAAAAGAAAATGGTCTGTTCTTAAAAGTTTTTAAGTGGTATCAACGAGATACCTTTGCAGGAGACAGATTATTAAGGAGTGCTGGCACCTTTCTTAAATGATTTGATCTTTCTATTTTCTCCTTTTTTGAAAAGGACTAAAAAAAAATATTATATTCCTTCTCCTCCCTTTTCTCATTGTATTGTAAAATGCATGCTGCCTGCTGTGTTTGGTCACCAGTGGCTTTAAATCATGAGTAAGCTGACTACTAGAGCAAAACGTGAAAATAAGAACTGGGATGAATTACTTTACCAGTCCCTTCCAAAAGATAACCAACAATTAACACTCATTTTTAAACCATTGACATACATGTATGGTGGAGAAGAATTTACCCTACGTACTTTACATATTAAGGACCCAAATGTGCAGTCTTTACCAAAGTCGACAGGGGGAAGGATCTCTAACAAGAGCAAAGATTTACATAGTGAGAATAAATTTAATTCCTTTGATCTGGAAATGGAGTCACATGCTGCTCACTAGCTGCTACACCTAGCCTTCAACATTGCTGTATTTTGCATCAAGCTTTTGATCTCTGAGTAAAAGTTGCTATTTTAGTCTACTCAAAAGGAGCAGAAGCAGAGCCAGTTTAGTACAAGGATTCTACTGCAACTACTTTGTATTAGGACATACTGCTCAAATTCACTGAAATAAAAAAAATGCTTGCAGATGGCTCATGAGCTTCAGCTTCTCTGGGTGCGTCTCTGAAAAGCTGAAGACATGACAGAGCACTGAAGCACCAGCTTTTACCTGGGTCTGCCTTTTAGCATTCCTGGGTTCTCTAAATTTGCTTCTGCCACTTGAAGTCTGAATGTGTTATTTTCCCACCAGACTGTTTGCTTATTGGTAACATAGCTTTCATTTGATAAGTATCATCTGTCGTAGTCTTCCAAAAATGCATGTGCTGAAATTCACCCCCTCAAGCAGGCTGATAATCTACTAATCTGTTTCCCAACAGTGAGTTGGGACTAATTCATTGAATGCATATGGGGCACATACTGATGATCCTCTAACTTGTTTGTGTTTTTTTTCTCCTGGTAATTTTTTTTGCTGTCCTTTTTAAAAAAAAAAAAAAAAAAAAAAAAAAAAAAAAAAAAAAAAAAAAAAAAAAAAAAAAAAAAAAAAAAAAAAAAAAAAAAAAAAAAAAAAAAAAAAAAAAAAAAAAAAAATTAAAAAAAAAAGCTGCCTACTACATTCAGCATAGACAACAATTTATCTTCCCAGGTGAGTTGATTGTTTTAATTCTACTAACCAGCTTCTGCTGCCAAAAAGTAACTTGTTTGTAAACCTCTGCATGCTGCCCAAGAACAATAATTCTGCTTTTTAAAAAAAAAAAAAGTATCTAAAACAATTCAAACTTTCTCTTACCTCACTATATAAATTCAGGCCTCTCCTATAGGAGGTAGTGATGTGATTTACGTACTAAGGTGAAACTTTGAATATTCAGTTGTAAAACAGTAGCTTTCTGTTGTGGGATTCTATACACAGCCATGTTCTTTCTTTAAAAAGGCTCGCTTTTAGGGTTATATGCTTAGCTAGAATAAATGGACACTGTCAGTTTGGGAATGCTGAGCTCACCTTTATGAACTGAGGCTTTTGCCTATGGGATTTAAGAATGATGCAACACTATTCATATGTGGATTTGCATATACAAACTTTTCTCAGTCAGCTGTTTGTGAACCCTTAGAAACAGCTTGTTTGTTTCCAAAGTGAGAATATATGATGTAGGATGCCAGGTACAGAGTATTTATTCTGAGTTTTGGAAGGATTTGCAATCCAAGCTGAATTTCCTTTGCACTGGTGACACTGGACAGACTAGGTGCAGTTGGAATACATGACCTGCAGCATAGATGAATTCAAATGTCCTAGTTCTGTGAGGATTTAAGTGTTTGTGATTGTCCAAGGCAACCTGAAGGCATGTGAGCAGTTCACAGACAAGGACTGACCTCGAAAGACATTACAGATAAGTAGGTGAATGGGAAGAAGACTGGGCTTCATCAATATACAGGCATATAAGTACTAGGAAAGATGAGCATAGTTTTAAAAGAATAGAAGTATAAAATCATATTGTCTGTGGTTGAGTTTACTTTATAATTCCTGAATAAGAAGCAAATTATCATTATTGCCATGTTAAAACTTCCAATCTATAAGAGATTAAAGTGTAAAATGTCATAAATGTTTCTACTTTCCCAGAAATTCCCAGTCCTGCACAAATAGCACAGCCTCCAGAAACAGCTGCAGACACTAAGTAAGTATAGTTTTAAATTCTTTTATTTGCATAGTGTTTACCTGATAATCTTCAGATCAGTCTGAAAGCGCTATGTTATGACCAGAACTGAACTTATCATCTGAGAACTCACAGGGTAATTTTAGTCAGCAAGGGTGACACTGGTATTCCCAGTTTTATAAAGCTGAGTATGATATTTACTTTAAATCGGACAGTAAGAAGTCCACACCTTTAATATCTAGTTATGGTTATGTGTGCATTCCCAAGATCAGAAAGGTCCGATGAAATAGAAGTTACGGAGTTTTACAATTAAAAGAGCACTACACACTTAGCTGCAAGCAAACATCTTTTTAAGGATCTGAGTTGTAGGGCATGCAAAAGATTTTAGCCTGCGTTGCCAGCACTCACAATTGCTTCTCCACTGTAGGTGTTTCAGTAGTAGGAAGAGGAGTATCCATTACTGGAACACATTGTAATAATGCAGCCATGCCACTGCCAAATCAATCCCTGCCACTCAGTCATTGAAAATCACTTCAGAGTCTTTGTCCCTCATTTGCTAAAGTAAGCTTAGAAAGTCCTTATCTGTTAAGTGGAGCAGTAATGGTATTTTTCTTTGACCTACTATAATGCTATCAAGATCTGTTCTCTATTTGCTTCTTTCCACTCCACTAATGGCATACGTAGCAGCCCACTTTTCTAACTCAGGTGGATATGCAAACGTTATTTTCACTGTAAACCTGTCTTCTCTTGTTAGTGCTCATGAACAGCCAGACACAGATGGAGTTGAATGTGAAGCAGAGGTAGGTTTTCTGGTTTTCCCTTTTGTACAATCAGAAATGCCATGTTGAAAGTGCAATAAAAAAAGTTGTGGCCCTGGAATTATGAGTGTAGACTAGCTGTGCCTTACCTCAGTTCCACTGAACTGTTTGTACTGCAAAGATCTCAACTAAAAATTCATGGTTTCTGTAGCTAGGCTGAAACATTTAAGTACTTGTAAGAATACTTAACTTTTTCTTATTGGGCTAAGATGATATTTTTCAAACTTTTGGCTCGCTCAGTTTGGCACAGCTGTTTTTACATTACACGAGCTGCAGGCCTGCTGCTGGAGCTACGAGGTCTAAATACTCTGCAGACCTCAAATCTGCAAGTAATGCATGTGTAGGTGCTACCCGTGGTCACATAAGCCCATGCTTACAGGCTTTGCTTTGCAGGATCTACCATGAGCTAATGTTTTGCATAGGAAAGCCTTTCCATACCTATTCACAAGACTGATTTTGGTAGTGCCTAAGCACGTGTTCAGCTTGTAGTATGAACACTGAAATGGCTTTCTGTAGGGATGAGTAAACTTATAGAGATAGATGATGATTTCAGCAGAAATTACTGGAATTTGGATCAAGCTTGCTGATTTTTGGAGCATTTCTCCCTAACAGGAGGATTTTAGTAATCGCAAAAAAACCAAAAACCCACCCACATTTATTTGAAGAACAAAGAGGTTCTTGACCCTTCCTTTTAGAGTGGTCTTGTAGTATTTTTCCCCACACTGAAGGCTAAATCCTGAGAGATGCTGATTCCCTAGATGTTAGTGCTGGTTCTACAAATTTAACTCTATATGGAATAAAGCCTTTCTTGTCTTCACCCGCGTGCACTGACATACAGAAGATGTATGTCTTTTTGTAGCCTTCCGAGATGACTTTGTCCTGTGAGGTATATTTCTAGAGCTGTAGTCAAATGCGTACATCCAACCCCCTAAAGTTCTCTCAAAGCAGCCCTTGCTGCTGGCTGGTAAGCTGCTTCTGCCCCTCAGATGGGACTCTCAGCATATGTTTCCATTCTCTTTTTGTAAACAGGTGGAAGAACCAGAGACTAATAAATCAGAACCTGAAGATGATGAGGATGAGGTGGAGGATTTGCCAAACAGGCGGCCACGCTTGCAAGGGATGATTTATCGCAAACCTAGCCAGACCAGCGTCTACCTGCAAGAATGGGACATTCCTTTTGAACAGATTGAACTGGGGGATCCTATTGGCCAAGGACGATGGGGGAAGGTTTACAAGGGAAAATGGCATGGGGAAGTGGCCATCAGGCTGTTGGAGATAGACGGGAACAATCAGGATCATCTCAAGCTCTTTAAAAAGGAGGTGATGAACTACAGACAGACCCGGCATGAGAACGTGGTGCTTTTCATGGGAGCATGCATGAACCCTCCTCATTTAGCAATCATTACTAGGTAAGGATATAGCATCTTAGTATTATTTTTAATATATACATATTATATAGATAGGTAATGTTTATTTTTTATATATAAAAATAAACCTCTTACTGCAGTCAGGAGGTGGCAGACATGAATGCAGTCTGTGTTGCTCAGAGTTTTGGACACTAGGGTTGTCTCCTTTTAGGGAACGTATAATATTTTTTGGCAATTTTCTTTTTATTTTTGATTCTTAAATAATAAAATTCAAAAAGCAGGAGAGAAAAAAAATCTGGAACAGGCTGTCCCTCCGTCACCTACTTCCAGATGGTTCCAATTCAGCAAAGTGACAGTAAACCAATGTGTGAGGCTGATAATACAAGTTACCTGTTCCTTTCTGCTCCTCTTAGGGACACTTGTCGATTAGGCAAAAATGTTACTATTTTTCTCCTCTCTTCTGTTTTCAGTATTTAGTTGAGATGAGTATCATTTAGCCCCTAAATAACAGCTTTTTGGGATGCTTCCAGATGGTTCCAATTCAGCAAAGTGACAGTAAACCAATGTGTGAGGCTGATAATACAAGTTACCTGTTCCTTTCTGCTCCTCTTAGGGACACTTGTCGATTAGGCAAAAATGTTACTATTTTTCTCCTCTCTTCTGTTTTCAGTATTTAGTTGAGATGAGTATCATTTAGCCCCTAAATAACAGCTTTTTGGGATGTTCATATGCAGGCTGAATTTAAGTAAGGCCAAGGGCATGCCATTCTCATAGGCTGGCAAGGAGGTACTCAGTCATTTCTAATTGCCAGTTCCAAAAGAAGTTTCCTGCTTAAGTGACCAGCAGCAGAAGCTGGTGCTCAGATTTTGAAAACCGGGCTTCAGATGTCAGAGCAGTATAACAACAACTGGGCCTCTGAAGAAATACCTAAGCATTTTTTGCATATCCTTGAGCATGCTTTAACAATAGGTCTCCTGTACAATTGGGTCCTTAGAGTTCTTCAAAATGGCATTTCTCAGCAGGAAGAGGGCTGGGATTCTGTCAACATGATAAGAAAACCGATTGAACATCCAGTGTTACATTCTTATTTCTCTCCAATATTTTAAAGACCTTTTTCAGGATTGTTGTTCCTCTTTCCTGTAGCTTCTGCAAAGGAAGAACGCTTCACTCGTTTGTAAGGGACCCCAAGATATCCCTGGATATTAACAAAACCAGGCAGATAGCACAGGAGATCATTAAGGTAAGGGTACGTTATGCTAACGGAGACATCCACTTTCTGGGCAGTGCCTTAGCAAGAGCTTAGAGGCTGCACAGCTGGAAAGGTTCTCTAAGTCTCAACAGCCCGACACGGTGTTGCAGCAGGAGATACTCAAAGTTGGCTGAAAAAAAGTGCTGATTTAGTGGGCAATAAGCTAAGGGCCTGTAAGGAGAGAAACAGACCTTTTGCTTGTCAGTAAGGGGCTGGGGAGGGAGAATTTAGATAAAGGGAACAATGAAGAAAGGCATGCAGGACAGGTTTCCTTCCCGGTCTCTTCTCTTTATTAGTAACTGCAGCTAAGTTAATGCATTCTGAAGTAGATGGCATTTTCTCCCAGATTTGCACAGAGTTTTCTGTGCTTGCTTTCAATATTTCTGAACTGAAGAAGCATTTGTAAAGTTGCTGTTTTTTCTTCTGGCAGAAGTATCCTGTGAATTTAGTGAGCAGACTTGTGTCAGTTGTTCATTGTTCTTACACATACAGACTTCTTCAAAATGGTGAAGTCCACAGCCACTTAATGCTTCAACTAAGAGTACCCTTCCAGCAGCCCTACTATGCAGAGCGTGAAAAGCAATTCAGAGGTTGAGCACTAAACTAAGATCCGCTCCCTTGCACCCTTCCTGCATAAGTCAGACAGCTGCTGTGTCCCCATTTACAATTAATCATTTATGCTGGAGTAATGAGAGTAAATGTGTATTAGAAAGCAAAGCATGCCCAGAGTTGGAGGCTTGTAAATAATAAAAAAAAGTTTACATCTCTGCATATATTTCCCAGGGCATGGGCTATCTTCACGCAAAGGGGATTGTACATAAGGATCTGAAATCCAAGAATGTTTTCTATGACAATGGGAAAGTTGTGATCACTGACTTTGGATTATTTGGAATTTCGGGTGTGGTTCAGGAAGGAAGGTAAGTGCTTGGTCCAATTCTAGAGTGATAAATAATGATCAAATAGAGAAACATTTTGATGCATTACACAGCACAAGTGAGGAGTGTCAATTGCTTTAGTACATACACATATTTTTGGAATACGCACTTTGTTTTCTTTTTTTTTTTTTAGCAGAGTTCTTTCTACAGTTCCCATAGCACAGAGCTAGGAAGTTATGTATGGAGTAAGACTCAGAACACAGAACAAAGAAAACTTTAAGCCCAAGAATGAGCGGGAGAGTTAGGCTAACACATGCATATTTTTTAATATGGCAAGAAAATTAGAAAGGAAATGTCAGCAAAAACATTTGAGTAAATAAAGTCAAGGCATTAGGTGAAGCACTGCTGCTTGGTTGAAGCAGTACTGTTTCAGTACCACTTCTTTCTTTGGAACTCAGGAGGGAGAATGAATTGAAGCTGCCTCATGACTGGTTATGCTACCTGGCCCCTGAGATTGTTCGTGAGATGGCCCCTGGGAAAGATGAAGACAAGCTGCCTTTCTCCAAAGCTGCAGATATCTATGCCTTTGGGTAAGAGAGGAACACCTAAGAGTACCACGGGAGCTTGCTAAATGAGATTTGTTACAGGCCTGAGCCTTGGGAGTCAGTGGTCCTCTTCTCACAGGCTTGCATTTTTCTCATGTACTACAAAAGTCACGGGTGGGAGGTGTGTGGCGTGGGAGGGACTTGCTGCACAGCCTTATACACCTTCCAGAGCTTGTCTGAAGAAATTGGAACAGTGTCAGGGTTTTGTGTCTTTCTCTTAAGAGCAGGCAGAGGCTTGATTTGTCTGTTGATGTTGCAGAACTGTGTGGTATGAGCTCCAAGCAAGAGAATGGCCTTTCAAGAACCAGCCTGCAGAGGCACTCATCTGGCAGATTGGAAGTGGCGAAGGAGTGAAACAAGTCCTTGCAACCGTTAGTTTGGGGAAAGAAGTCAACGTAAGTACCTCAGTTGCAGGAATCCTTCCATATAGCTATTTATCAGGAAAAGAGGGAGCTGCTTAAAGAGGAGATTTATTTTACTCTTATTATAACTCTAAAGATAAAGGGCAGGAGAGAGAACAGATTAGAATGGGACACCAGGATAGATAATAAGCCTCTGCCCATAGCTGTCATATAGAAGTGGACATTCACCAGTACACAGGGAACTGATTATGTGCGCTTGCAGCCCAGAAGGCCAATTGTATCCTGGGCTGCATCCAGAGAAGGGTGGCCAGCAGGTCGAGGGAGGGGATTCTGACCCTCTACTCCGCTCTGCTGAGACCCCACCTGGAGCTCGGCATCCAGCTCTGGAGCCCTCAGCATAAGAAAGACACGGACCTGTTGGAGCGGGTCCAGAGGAGGGCCACAAAAATGGTCAGGGGAATGGGACACCTCTCCTGTGAAGAAAGGCTGAGGGAGTTGGGGTTGTTCAGCCTGGAGAAGAGAAGGCTTTGGGGAGACCCTATTGCAGCCTGTCAGTACTTACAGGGGGCTTATAAAAAAGGTAGTGGCAAACTTTTTAGCAGGGCCTGTTGCGACAGGACAAAGGGGAATGGCTTTAAACTAAGGGGGGTACATTCAGACTAGATATGAGGAAGAAGTTTTTTAAGCTGAGGGTGGTGAAACACTGGAACAGGTTGCCCAGAGAGGTGGTGGATGCCCCATCCCTGGAAACATTCCAGGTCAGGTTGGACGGGGCTCTGAGCAACCTGGTCTAGTTGAAGATGTCCCTGCCCACGGCAGGGGGGTTGGACTAGATGACCTTTAGAGGTCCCTTCCAACCCAAACTATTCTATGATTCTGTAAGTATGTCCAAGACCTCTGCTAAAGAGTATCTCTGGCTGGGCTCGCACAAATCGCAATGCTCAATCAGTTGCTTGGTCTGCACAGTTGACCTGTGAACTAAGTGGAGATGATAAGCCACAGATATCCTTTGCAGGAAATTCTCTCAGCGTGCTGGTCGTTTGATCTCAGTGAGAGACCTAGCTTCACTGTCCTCATGGATATGCTTGAAAAACTGCCAAAATTGAATCGTCGGCTCTCCCACCCAGGGCATTTCTGGAAGTCTGCTGAGTGAGTATTTGCTGCTGTTAAGAAAATTTATGCCGCTCAGAATTTGCTAACTGATCATTTCTGTGCTTTATTTTGCCTTCCTGGGGGCTGTCAAACCTCTGATGGGAGAGTAACAATGTGCTGTTCTGCTCTTCTGGTTTCTAGGAAATTATGCAATTAAGCTTGCGTGCTTCAGACAGTTAATTTCCTACTGTAACATATTCACCTCCCTCCTTCAGTAGATTATTTATCCAGCTTTATGTTTGGTTTCAGAGAGTATCTACCAACAGTATTGGAAAGGGCCCACACTGACCCCAAAGTGGTTAGAATTTCCCCTATAATGGCTGGTACTCACTGAGGAAGGGAAGGACCAAAGAATGTGCCACCGTTTCCCTTTAAAACCGAACTGTCAAATTTTGGAAGAGTCCTAGGTTTGTAGCCTTCCTCAAGGAGCATGTAGGAAAAAAATCCAACCCCCTCCTCCTCTTTATGGAAGAGTGCCCAATTTGCACAGGCAGATAAAGAAATGAGGCATTAGTCCTGACTCAGAATAATTGACTTCTGGGGAAAAACCAAAGCAGGTGGTAATCATGTGTCGAGTGATTTACAAATCCTGAAGATGCAGTAAACTGACAGCTAGGAATGAGTTGCAATGTTTGGACTGAATCTCTAAGTTGGAATTACGTCAAGATCTGGACCAAGGAAAGATAAATCATGAGAAGTCAGCATAAATCCTTGTCAGATCGTGATACTTTCAAAGTCAGTTTCTGTGTTGCAATTGGGGAAGAAAGGTCTCATACAATCAAGCATCCGTAAACTGTCAAAACCGGAAGAGGTCCCTCAAAGCACCTGACTGTACATCCCTCGACATCCGTTATGACAGACCAGACCAGAATATAAAACTCAGTCCAGTTCAGGCTGGATGAGCATAAAGCCACAAGGCCTAAAACTTTCAGCCTTCCTTCTCATGAATAACCTGTCACTCTCAGAGAAGGATGGTTCCCAGTTCCACTTCTACCAAAATCAAGTGGAAGCAAAGCAGATACAACTTCTGGAGCCAAGAGACCGAAACCGCCACCCCAGACCAGTTTTATGTCAGTCATCTAATCTCCACTGCTGACCACTGTTACCCCGAGTAGCCCCGATGGAGTTCAGTTAACAGGCTGGGCCTGCAAGCCCCAGTGAAAGACAGACGGCCCAGTTTCAGGAACACGCTTAGAGTTTGTTAGGCACAAGGTTACATTTTGGTGACCTCAGTGTTTTTTCTCAGAGTCTGGGGGAGATCAGACATGTTTGCCACCAGTGCCCATTTACCATGTACTCTGCTCACTGTTTATTTTCATCTACTGAACCGCTAATATTTATTTTCTCTTTTTTCTCCTTTTTTTGATGTTTAATCTACCCCTTTCTTTCCCATAACCCTTCACAATCTTCCTGCAATACCTTATCATAACTAACCAAACGCTTCTGTTTGCTCATATGGTGACTGTCACGGCATTTTGTGCTTTGGTGGGTGCGGCTTGTTTGGGGTTTTGGTTGAAAATTTTGCCATTTGTCTCTTGTGCAATTTCCCTAACATTTGTACTGGATCCCTGATATATTACAATGTCTAACAACTTTAAAATGCGGAATACTTCTCCAAGACTGTGGCCTCATCTTTATGCAAAAGGACACTATTATCAGCAAAGACTGAATGCTTACTACCCACTCATGGATAAGTAGAACTGTCTGGTATTTTTTCCTTACACTAGACAGACATATATGCATATCGCAGCACTCATTTTAAAAAGGTACAACAAAGGGTTGAGAGAGTCTTACATTTGGCAGTTGTTCTTTGCATCATCGGTTACTGCCTGTGTGCGCTGTGGAATGTAGTTGGGAGGCAAGGTCTCTTTCTGCACCCTGAACACTCACTACTCCAGCAGAGCTGTCACAGCTACGCTTCAGTCCTTGTGATTTCAATTGTCTAGATTTTTTAAAACAAAGATTTGAAGAGAAACCAACAAAATCTGAGCTAAAAAACGGACCTGTATGTAATTGCTGCTTCTTATCTGTCCTTCAGTCATAATTTAAGAGAAACAATTTTTTTTTTTCCTCTTCTGGCCTAAAGCATAGCAAACCCTATCTCCAGGCACAGCTTGCGTTGGCCAGATCTATACCCAGCTACCTTGAGTACGTGCTTCTCCATTATCCATTCCTTCAAGTCATCCAGCTTCACTTGTGACATTTCCTCCTATTTTTTTTTAAACTAATCCTCCCTTGCCTCAAGGGAAGATCATTGTATTTAAGTCGTGTTATGTTATGAAGACAACAATTCTTTTGCCAGGAGATTTGCATGATACAGCCGTGGCCTTTGGTAATATTTTTTCCTTTCTACAGAAACACACTGTACTCCAACACTATGGTTCTGTGTGTCAACACTTTCATGCCCTCATTTCTCTATACAATAAGATCCACTTGTGTTGGATCATTAACTCTGATGACTGATTTGACATCTTTTCACCTACCTAACCAGACACCACAGAGCAGACTGAGAGCCCAGGCTGTCTACACATTCCCATGCAGACAATCACACTCTCGCATTGTCCTCTAACATCACATTGGAAATGAACTTGAAGTAATGCTTCCCATTTGGGCAGTCAGTTCATGAGAATGCTCTATTCCAGAGCAATTTGCCAAGTGATTATTTTGGATTAGTGTTTCCATAGGGAGTTACTCTTGAACAGCTTGTGGAACTGCAGAACAATGTCTTATGTAGTAGCTACCCTAATTATTTTTCCCTGGGTAGACGGACTGACATCCCCCCTCCACCCCCACAAGTGGTTCATGTCAATTTGCATACATTAATACTTTTTCTCTGCTCAAAGCATTTAATAGGGGAGAAGTACTTTAAGTGTCAGTATTAATTATCAGCATTGACAGCTGAATTAGTGCTCATTGAAATGAAAGTGCAGGCAGCTCAGTTGTTGTTCATCCCCTGCAAACTGCGTTATATTCAAGTCACACTTGGGAGGCTCTCTAGCCATGTCAGCCAGAGATCTACTCGGATTCAAAAGCCACTAAAGACATGTTCACATCCTCTCTGACAAATCCTCTGAGAAACATTGCACTAACCCCATGCTTTGTTCTGGTGTAAGCTTTGTAATATGTAGTTCTCAAGGGCTTGCTTTAAATAACTGAAAACTAACTCTCATGGTGTCTTTTTCCCTTCCCTCCCATATTTCTTTGTAGGTTGTAGCTACTGGTGCAATAATGGGCTCCACCTTGCATGCTTCCATGTGTTGTATCCTAACCGGCAACTTGGACAATCACCTTCCATTTAAAAAAGCAAAAACAAACCACGAAATTAACCCATGGACATAATCAACACTTTATCCGAATTCTCCTTTTCTGCCTTTTTCCGCTTGGTGTGGGCTGTTAGCTTGAATAACAACTCCTGTCTGCAAGAAGTTACTGTCTAACAACGCGGCCATCTTTCACTCCTGAAGCATTTCAGCAGGCTGTAACTTCCTCCTGGAAAGGGTCTAGTGATCTGCTCTCTAACTAACTAGGTGCAAGCAACAGCGAGTGCTGTGTGTCCTGCCCAGCAGGTTGGGGGTTTTCCTGAAACTGGTGTGACTTGCCTGCAAGTCTGACGAGGCGGAGGGGTGCAGTTTCCGAGTTGCAGTCTGAGGTTATGCATGTCACCCTTAGTGCTGGACTGTGGCTTTGTGACTGAAGGTAACACAGGTACATTTTCACAGGCACAGCTGATGACTGAGCACTCCACTTGCACTGCAAACCAACAAGAGTTTAGGGCCAGATTGTGCCGGTTCTCCCTTGGGACCAGAGCCAGCACTGAAGCCAGGGTCAATTCTGTCAGCGGCTGGATGAAGCTGGTGCAGAGTTCTTGAGTGGAAAGAGGGATGGTCCTTGCTCTGCTTGGAGCAGGTTGCGGTCCCTTAGCCTACCAGGGACCAGGCCACAAGTGGTGTCCAGAACTGGCCCACGTGGGTCAGCTGGGATCAGCTACAATGCTGTGTAAAAGAGGAGGAAAGCGAGAGCGCCCTTCAGTTCCTCCTTCTCCTCCCCTTGCAAATTTAGTGCTTTGAATTTTATGATTTGCTTCTGTTTACATCCCCGTTCAGCAAAATGTCTGACAACGTTAGGGGCTTTGCAAAATTGTAGGTAACACAGCAAATATGTGCCTTTTTTAGAAAAAGGTCTTTTTTCATTCTTTACCGATTCATGATTTTGAAAAAATATCATTTCGGAGGGGAGAGGATAGGGACAGAGGAGAATATGCATCAAGAACCAGAGAGGTTTCTGCTGTCTTCAGTGAGGACAAATACACCCACATACTTACTCTCTCAGAAAGTCTGCTGCAAGAGCTCACATATTCAGGCTGTCTGCCTTGCCGTCACCTGAGTGCATGTGTGTAGCAAAGCATTTTGAAAAGAAAATGTTTCTAGCTACACCAACAGTTTAAGGGTGAAAGAAAAGACATCTTCATGCACTTGCTACAGTCTATAAAGAGGAGCAAATGGGTTTGGGTTTGTTCTGTGGTTTTTTTTTGTTTTTTTTTTTAACCAATTGACATACCTTGTCAAAACACCCCTCTCTCTTAAAAAGAAAATTCTGTAAGTCATTTTTTCCTTCCCTTCTACTTCAAGGAAACCAAGTGCCCGTTGAAAAAAGTGTCGGGCTTCTACCCGCCTTAGGTACTTACGAAAACCTCCTGTTTCTCCAATTTGAGGCAAATCAGATTTGTGCTGTATGTTTCCACTGATGAGGTTAGCATGAATAAGTTCATGCGTTTGCTGCTTAATTACTTAAGCCTCTTTTCTGGGTGATCTGAAGTTGTACGAGAGCAGAATCTAACCCATTTTAGTTCCTTTTATAGGACTGTAGCTTTGTAAGAAAAATTAAAAATAAATAACTCTTTCCCCTCCCTTCTCCTCTCCCTCCCCACCCTTTTCAGCATTAACAGTAGCAAAGTTGTCCTGCGTTTTGAAAGATTTGGCTTGGGAATCCTGGAACCAAGTAATCAAAAGATATAGCATGGTGTGTAATTGTCTTGTGATAACGTTGTCTGCCTACTTACACAAAGCATCAGAAGTCTTCACTGAATCTTCCAAGCTATGAAACTGGTGCAGCCACAGCTGAAAGCCGCACGACCATCAATTCACAGCCCCGTGTCGTTTGCAAAGTCTGAATTCTGCCTGAGCACCAGCAGTTATTTAAAGAATGTTTACATGATACTTTTGTGTGAACTATATTTTTTTTACACATAATAAACAGTGAATCAAGTTTAACCACAGCCATTCTCAAATAGCACTGAAAAAAAGAACTATTTCTAGTTCCTTCTTGGGTCTGTGGTAAATAGGAGCTATTTTCTGCCTTCAAAGCATTTGTTTTCCCTAAGAGAAGTGGAACTGGCTTGTTCCAGAATGGCAAGCCTCTAGGACAAGGGGTTGGAGTTCCAGATCGCATTTTTCTTTCATTAAGGTAAAAATCAATCTCTTACACTGTGATTTGCCCAGACCAATCATTGAGCTCTGAGGTTTGTTTCAGCAGGGTTAGTTCAAGGTAACCCAGAGCTTGGACCAAGTTACACTAGTGCAAATCTGCTTCTGATAGGAGAGTTTCTGATCACGTAGGCTGTCCCAATTAAAGACTCAAGCACTCTTCTACACAGAACTCACAATAAAAACTGCTTGTTCTCATGCAATCCCGTAGGAAGCTTAAGACTTGCTGGCCTTTAAAAAAATAAAAACATGACTTGTTACAGTTCTGCACACAGGGGCCTCATTCTTCTTCCGAAGTTTTAGGCACAACAAATTCTAGTTCCCTAAACTAGCAGCTTTTCTGGAAATACAACACTGACCAACCAGACTTGACTCTTACTGTCCCAATCACCCTTTCATTTGTAGAAGAAAAGACATTTTCCAGAGCTGCAGGGAGAGGCACGAGTGCCAAGACAAGGGAAAAAGCCATTCCTAAATAATGCATTAAATAAGGTCTTGATGCACAGAGCTTGTTAAGAGATTCAGAGTCATTCCCCCCCCACACACACAGTGTTACCAGCTCCTACAGCTGGTCACATTTAAGTTTGCAAGCTGTTTGTTTTAAAAAATTTAGGACTAAAGCAGTTGTTTAGGGAAAAACTAACAACAACAGAAATCTTGCAACCAGGAGGGTTACATCTAGGTTTAGAGGACTTGACTCAACCCAACAGCTCAGACTTGTTGCAAAGGTTAATTTTAAGACAAAAAAACCCACACCCCCTCTCCAGTGTTATAAAGGATATGTCTGATTACTGCATTTAAGGTGACATACATTATCCCACTTGCAAATGGATTGCAAGCGGTGTTAGCAAGGCTCCCTCCTGCCTCCCCTTCGTCTTCCTCTGCCTTCTCCTGCCAGCCAGGGCAGTGGGAGGACACTATTTATACAATGAACATTCAGATCCTTTCTGTTCTTATTCTACTTCGTTTTGTTGAGATAGTTCATTAGGGCTCCCTGGAAGTCACCAAATTTCATTTCTCCAACAGCACTAGTATGTTACACACACCCCTCTACACCTTTCACCATCATCACAAGGGTTTGACGTGAGGATCACAGGGAGAGGAGCTCTGAAGTCCTCTGTAAGGCAGGCAAGGTGACAGGTGCTCGGTTTGGTTACTTACAGGTGGCTGACTTTTGTAGAAAATTAAGTGACAAACAAAAATTCCTGAGTTCTGTTGAGCAGAGAGCTTCGCTCCTACTATGTGCAAGGCAGTTATGTTCTCTTACAAATATTTTGATAGAATGACTTTTTAAACGTGTCTCAGATATCAAAGAAAAAATTGGTTTGATGGTAGCCGAGCGTGGCACTGCGGTACTCTTTTGACCTCCTTCCTCTCCCCCACCTTTACAAAGCAAATAAACCCCCTCCAAATATACTGTGTATTTAACCTACACCACGTGGTTCTCTTCAAGACTCGCTACTGTTTGTTCTCTCTCAATAATTCTGTGTGTCAGCAGTTTTAAGCAGAAGTTGTTTTCCCAGCAAGTACTGCTTAAATAATAACGGCACAACACAAACCTAAAGCGGGGAGAAGTGTGCTTCTTCGCACCGGTAACATTACGAACCCATCAGCTGAAACCCTCCACAGGCTTCACTGTGCATCTTGCCTTAGAGAAGAGCAGAAGCTGCTGCTGGATGCAAATCCTTGCTGTGTAGCCTGCAGTTCTGAACAGCCCTTCAGCTGACTCTGCGTTTGAGGGTGGCAGCAGCCTTGGTGTGCTCCTCACTATTTATTTCTGCCATCTGTGCGCATAAAACGGGACCCGAAAGCTGGGACACCCAGAAATTCTCGGTGCGGGAACCAGTCGCCAACTTGCAAATAGGCAGTGTTTCCTTGCTGTTCATCAGCAGCAACGCTGCTGCGCAAATGTGCAAGAGCTATGCTGGGAAAGCAATATATTCTCAATTTTTTTTCTAATAAGATGACTGGCTAGGAGAAGGACAGCCAGCACTGGGTGACCAGCCAGATTAAAACAAAATAATGAAAAACAAAAAAACTATCATCATTTGTCCTTCCTATGACTGCCCTCGGGTGTAATTCAAACACTGTGAAGACTTTCCAGGCGCAGAGCTGTGTTGGCCCCTGCTTTTAGGCAGGGCTTCCTCGCCTGTTCCAGCAGGGCCACCTCGCTCATGTCCCTGCGTGCTGCACTTTAAAGCGTGCTGAACGCCAGTGGGAGACTCATCCCAGCTGGGCACTGCCCCGTGGTGCCCCGCTGGGAATACTGCCCTGCTGCTCCCTTCCAGGGGGCAGGAGGGGTTTCAAAACCTGCCTTTAATCACAAGATTCAGGATTCTAATTTAACCTGACCTTGGGTTTGTGTTTAACCCCCATAAATGGCTCTTGAAAGCAAACCCCAGCTTCCTGGACCCAGCGCATCGGAGAGCAGAGACCGATTACTGTCTCTGGGATAATTTTTGTTTTAATCAGCTGGTGTAAGACACATGGAAATGGACCGAGAGCAGTGGAGTTGCAGAGCTGTGAAGAGAGCGGAGCTCTCTTATCCCTCAACATGTTGCAAACCAAGCGACAGTCGTTAGGTTGCATTGTTTTATGGTCACATGTACTGTCTCCTTGTGTGCTGGTGTAAGGGCGTGAAGCACAGTAAGCCTGTACCATTTTAGAGTTGTAAATGTGAAGCTGGCTGTACAATGCTGCTACAAAAGCCACACGTCAGTAGTGAATGTAAATGGAGTCTGTAATATGGTGAAAATGGACACGTTTTCTTTTCAAATGTGATGTAAACTTTGTACAGTAAAAAATTTTTTTTTATATTTTCTATCAACTGAGTGTCTTCCAGAATTGCTATTAAATTAATTAAAAATTGTTAGTATTAACAACAGTTTCTGTATTAGTTTATGCAACCAGGAAAAAAAAAAAAGGGCACTCTATGCTAATGAAATTCTGGATATGTAGGAATCTTTTCAGTGAATAAATCTTTGCTCTGGATAAAGCAAGTGTTACAGAATTGTGGTTTGACCTTTTTCCCCCTCATCTACTCATAGCCAAATGCTGTGGTTTAACCCGGCAGGCAGCCAAACACCACAGAGCCGTTCACTCACCCCCCCCAGTGGGATGGGGGAGAGAATCAGAAAAAAAAAAAGAGGAAAATTCATGGGCTGAGATAAAGACAGTTTAATAGGACAGAAAAGGAAGGGAAAATAATAATAATGATAAAAGAATATACAAAATAAGTGATGCACAATGCAAGGGTCAGCTGTCCTGGCTGTGCCCCCTCCCAGCTTCTCGCTGGCAGGGTGTGAGAAGCTGAAAAGTCCTTGACTAGCGTGAGCACTGCTCAGCAACAACTAAAACATCGGGGTGTTACCAACATTATTCTCGTACTACATCCAAAACACAGCACTGTACCAGCTGCTAGGAAGAAAATTAACTGTATCCCAACCGAAACCAGGACACCAAATTAAAACACGAGCAGATTTCCATAGTGACCCACTAACACATTGCACTGTGTAGAAGACCCGGTGCTGGAGGATTCGCAGGACACTGAAGCGTTACGCAGCAGTTCACACTGCAGCGACGCTGGGAGGCTGCGAAACCCCACCACAGAACAGTAGACTTTCAGACGGTGTCGGGTTCTAGGAAGTTCACAAGCAAGAGACAAAGCCGAAACGTGCTCTGTGCTTTTCACTCCCTCTCACCTAGTTAGCGTTCACCCTTGAGGAAATGATGGCCCATGTCCCAGATGAACACGCCTTTCTCTAAGTAGCGGGAGACACTCTCTCTGGTTTGAAGTTAGGAATTCAAGGCAATATATTTAAAAGACCAGAAAACATGGGAGGCCTGTAGGGAGAGAGAGAAGTGGGTGGACAGAGATGACAGCCCTACCATGACGTGTCAGCTGATGTGCAGGGAGGTCACCAGCTCCATCATCACCGTTACTGCAGTTCTTCACCCTCTCCTCCCTGCCCTTTGCTTGACCCGAGTGAAGTGACAGAATGGGATTTCCCATCATTTCCCCATTTCCTTTGCCACGCTCAAGAGCCCGACGGACACGGGGCGATACAAATCGGACAGGTCAGCCTTTGGGGAGTAAATGACCAGAGTGGGACCCTCGTGATGGGCGAGGGCAGCCCCGGTGCACAGCCCCCTTCGTGGCGCACACAGAAACCCCCAGGAGAGCACAGGCCCCCCGACCCCGCAGGCACCACCGAGGCCGGGGGGCATCTTGCCGCAGAAGCCGTGCCAAAGCCATCCTGCCCTGCCGAGCTCAGCGGACCTGGGGGGGCACAGGGAGGCAGCGCATGTTAAAAACCCTTCTCTGAATTGGGCAAGAATAAGCAGCTATCGTGGCAGAAGAAGGTCCTGTTTCTAGAAATCCTATTGCAACAGAGAAGCTCTTGGAATAACGTGCTGAAGCAAAAGGTGACAGAAGTCTCAGGTTTAGCTCATGTAAGAAAAAATAAGATAAAAAAAAAAAATCAGCATTACAGCTTTTGTCTATAACCCTCGCCGTGCCTTACAGCTTTCTTTCACTAGATTGACTTGTTAATTGACAGCCTTTGAGCCCATTTGCTTTCCTCCCATTATAGTAGCTGTCAATCACTGACATCCTTCCACAAACGAAATTACAAGCGTGTGTCTTTTCTGCAAGCATGGTTCATTTTGTTTCCTCTTAGAAGTCAAATTTAAGAGGCCTTCAGTTACAGGACAGCTGGCAAACTGTTTCTTCAGCTTGTATGACAGGCTGAAGCACCAGGCTGTTCGCTTTCTTTTTGCTGCCACTCGGATTCCTGCAACAACTCGCATCAAAAAAAAGGGAGACGAGAGGCCAGACCCGGGCTTTTTCGGAAGCTCCTGCAGCCGCCCGCACGAGTCCTTCCCTGGGATTTGGTTGCCTCCTCGTGGCTGCTGCCGTTAATTGCAGCTAGCCTTCCCTGCCAGGCCCTGGCCGCTCTTCCCCCTGCTCCCATGTACGAGGCCAGTTTGAGACGTTCAGTCCATTTGCAATTATCAAAGAAAGTTTTCCCTCCTGGATACGATGGGTCAAGGTATTTTGTGGTTTAAGAACTCCATCATTTTGGTTTTTTGAAGCACTACGTTGAGAAGCTGCCTCCTACCCACGTGCCACTCCAGGCCATTCCTCACACCCCGGTCATCATCTTTCCCCCTCCTTGCTCCTCACCCCACCTGCAGCCTGGCCGGTACACACGGATTAGCCCTGCCTGCACGTAAACCTGACCTGGCGTCCTCCTGTCTCTCGGTGGTCCTTTCCACCACCTCCCCGGGGAGGCAGGAGCTCTGTAGCCTCCCTTCTGGCATCAGCACGCTGCAGTGAACGTTGGCAGGTTTGGTCACCGGCAGGGTCTGTAAGAGCTCCCCAGCGCACCACAACTCCAGCACGGCCCCGTGCGACTACAGGGAGCCGGGCATCTGCCCGGCCCCTCGCCAGAGCCGTGGAGAGCACCCAGAGCCTCCCGGATCCTGCCACAACCTTTTCACCTACAGAGCGGGGGAGCAGCTCTGCCAGCGAGACACAGGCTGCTTTGCTCTCCTCGGTGGAAGCGACATTGCAGTGTGTTAATTAGTCCCAGGAACGTTACAGTGCTGCCAAACAGCTTTAGGCTGAAAATAACGGCAGCATTGTACTGTCCTGCAGGGAAGAGGCCAAGGCATTATAAAAGCGCAATTTTACATTTCATCCATCGTATCTAGACCTTTCATACGCAAACAATAAAAAGCTTAAGATAAGTTGAGCTTTGTTGTCTTTCATAAAGAAATCTAATTCTCAATTAAACTTGAAGGGCAAGGGTCTTTAATTTAAAAAAAAAAAACAAAACAAACCACAAAAAACCATCCTCAAGCATAAAGGTTATATTCCACCAGCTGTGAACCAGAACAGTTTGATATTTGCCTGGCCATTACATCCAAGCAATTGCAACCTGGCTGTCGTCAGCACCAACAGCTTCTTATCTACCTGAAGCAAGGCACCTCTCCTCTTGAAGAGCAGCAGCTAACCTGGCACGAAGGCAGCCAGCAAACAGGGGAGCACGGGCAGTTGCCTGGTTATATTCCACCAGCTGTGAACCAGAACAGTTTGATATTTGCCTGGCCATAGTTACATCCAAGCAATTGCAACCTGGCTGTCTGAAGCACCAACAGCTTCTTATCTACCTGAAGCAAGGCACCTCTCCTCTTGAAGAGCAGCAGCTAACCTGGCACGAAGGCAGCCAGCAAACAGGGGAGCACGGGCAGTTGCCTGCCTACAGAGCAGCAGCTCCCGCACAAGTGCACTTGTCTCACACCAAAAGGCACTTTAATACTGTTGCTATGTGCAGAGTGGCTCAAGCTGATCTGCAGAGACAAGCAGCACATGGCAGCACCCTGGTCATCACTAGGTCACCCTGCCAGCTTCTGTCAGAAAAAAGTTCTCATTCCCAGCAAAATAATCACATGATGCCTCCCACACACCCTCACCACCCTTATTCCCATCAAGGACTTAGAGCAAGCATTGGCCTTACTTGCTTTGATATGAGGATTTTGTGTCTCTGTGGGTTTAGATTCCCTGTCAGTCTGAACGCAGGCGAAGAGATCGCACTCCACGTAAACCCAGGGTTTGGGCAGAAAACCACAGTCCACACCACCTTGCTGAAGCACTAGTGGGGGAAGGAAGAGCGCAGTCCCCCAAGCAATATGCCACTCTCCCGGGGCAGGACTTCACAGTAAGCAAAGCCATTTTACATCATCACTCTGCACCAGCTGACCCTGGCAAAGCCCATACAGTCACCAAGACCCCTCAGCAGAGAGCTACGCTGGGGCCCTGTTTTGAGGCTTTCTAAAGTGGCATTCAGATTCGGCTGGGCCTGGAGCTCAGCCCTCGGGGTTGAGGCAGCTGTGATGGAACAGCCAGAAGATCCTAAGAGCTAAACCACTGAGAGCCCCTCAGCCATTTTTCAAGTTCACTACCAGGAGAGCAGATGGTATCTGCGCTGTTAAGCAGGACAAAGGCTGGAACTCATCATGCTTCAGGGAACAGCCAGGCATTTTCTGAGATGGGGTAAACACCTCCAACACCTGACAAGCGTTAATGGTTTGCTGTCCCTTCACGTCCAGCCCTGCTGGGGGAAGGGTTAGCAAAGCAACCAGAGGTTAGTAACTGCTCTAGCAACAAGCGGCAACTGCCATGCTAACAACTGCGAGTCACAGCCTGCCAAGTCTTGCCTAAGACCCACTAGATGACATGAGCCGCACCGGATCACTTACCTTACAGAGCTGGAAAGCAAAGGCTCAGATCAAACTTTTTCTCTGCTGCTACACAGCAAAACAGCAAGAGCTACATGCAAAAGCTGCAGTCCTGAACGCAATCTAGCCTGTTTAACACATTAGCCCTAGTGTAACGACTAACAGATTTACAAGAGCAACTTCAGAGGCTTGACAAACGGGAAGATTTGCATTTACTGTCTACCTGTTGCTTCCCCTATTAAATCTTCACTTTCCTCTAACCCAGCAGATTTGCTGTGGCATTCCCCACAGCTCTCTCCCCATTTATAGATTTGGACCTACTGTGATGCCCAGCGCTTCAGGTGGCCACGAAGGGACACCCCCTGTTTGATTGCACCTATCGGGTTCCCAGTCTGCAGCAGGTTGATAGGCTCAAGACCGGAGATGTTACGGTGACCCAGGCTCTGGTTTAGAGACAAGATCCCATGCACAGCTTGACAAGCCATTATATATCACAGTAAGACATCACTTAACATTAGCAGCCATCTAGGAAGTCTGTCAAAGCACATTTGGTTAGAAAGAACTTGAGAGCCTTTTTACATTTCTTTTTTATTGATGAGTAGTCCAAGAATTTGTTCTCTCTGAAAGACAAAAGCTTCCCCCCCACCCCCTCTTCTTTTTTTCTGAAGCAACCAGTACCCACATCTCAACAAATTCAAGCACAAACAGAGACCATTTGTAGCTCCAGACAGCTGCAGTGTAACACTCAATTGCA